ACCTTATCTCCTTGTTCCGTCCAGACCATAGTTCAAAATCTGGTTTCACAATTAACCAATGCTAAAGGTTCAGTTAATCGCTGTGAATGTCAACAATGATCTTCAATATATTCAAAAATTTTTGATCAAGTAAACTTATCGAATATTGACAGACCCTGGATAGGCAAACATAGACCGATGTCCTGATGACTGTATTAACAGTGTTCACTGCACGATATATTTCAGGTAGGAGAAATGTAGTTTTATGTGTTGGTAAATTTAGGAGAATGGGGCAGATGTCGCGATAAGTTGTGGACAATGTGTTCTACGTTTGCCAAAACGCTAAGCAGCTCACCTTGTAGACATCAAACATTTGGATTGCAGTATCAAAGGCAGAGTAGAGGTCGTTCAGGAAGTCAACAATTTGATAACCTGTCGATTTCGCAATTATATGCGAAAAACCGACGATATCACTGAAATAAATTGTGGCCTGAGTAAAAGTCTCCGGAGGAACCGGATTCCCACCTATCAGGTCCTGCGCCACACAACTAAGGAAGAGGCAAAAAACATATTTATTAACAGCGGCACTTCGGTTCCTCAATACAAATAATCTTATTACCGTTTAGCTTAAAAAGTGTACAAAATCTGTTAAAAAATGGCGTACCACTTTCAAGCAAACATTTCAAGATTTCAGAGCATATATGTTCAGCAATGAAAGCCTCAGTCTTCAGGATCCAACAAAACTCCTACGCAAAAAACATGGCTAAACTCAGCCTAGTAAAAAGGTTATAAATTATCACGTACAGATCGTACCAACATCCCGCATGGGTGCTGGAATCGCGGCAACCAAATATTAGAATGTGGACTGACAGGAAATCGACATAATATTTCCGGCCCTCAGTGATGAACTTGAGCGTTGCTTTTTATACTACGCTTGTGGATAAATGGCAAATGCGTTTGCGTGTCACTACTACTACTACTAATACTATGAATACTACCAGTACTACTAATACTTTTATTGTGACTTTTCACACTAATAAAACACCTTGTCCAGTGGTTGTACATTTTGATCGACGCGAAGAAGGGTATATGGTTAAA